ATGGATGTGGTCTATAGGTCCTATTCCATATACATAAAGAAGAATAATCTGCCTGGGGAAATTGTGGTGAGATTCTCAAAGAGGCATGTAAGGGATTGTATCCTGAGAGCGACGGCGGGGACACCCTTGAGCATTGAGGACAAGACTATTCGGATTCTGAAAGACATTCCATTTGAAATAAGACAATGGAGAAAGAAGCATAAAGATTAAATCCTTTTTCTTCAAACTAATGCAATTGGATACAGATAGTTATACCCAGAGGACGTGACCTTTAAACTCCAGGAAAAGAAAGAAAAGATTGACTCTGTTTCAAAAGCACGAGACTTTTTGAGAGCCAAGCGGGGTGAGCCAGGGGAGGTGGATAAAGAAGAAAAGGATAGTAAGTCCAGTGGCGAGCTGGACTCGGGGTCCTCTGGAGAGGACTCTTCTGTCGGAGAAGGGTGCAGCGGCTCCTAAAAGTCCTTACAAACTGTGGAAGAGACAAGATAAGAACAAATGAGGGTTGAAAGACTCTGAATGGAATTCTGATAAATAAGATATTTTAACATGGAGGTGCTGAGGGAATCTTTCCTAACAGTTAAACTTAAGATTTAAAAGATATAAGAGCATGACTGACTAAGTTCATAAAATGTAGCGTTTAAACGGATGGCATAATATGTAAGCTATTATGAAGATCTCCTCTCTCGGGCTTTTAGTTAGTAGTGGTTATCTTTACTTTCTCCCTAAATGTAGTACCACTCCCTTTTTTCATTGTAGTTTGTAGTCCATATATAAAATGCAATAATAAAAAAAAATCCCCTCCGGGGGGCCAAAAAAAAAAAAAAAGGATCTGAAAACTCCAGATTTTAACTAGTACCTTTTTAGTACGGCTCTGAAGCACACAAAAATGGGATGCTCACGGAAGATGGATGTTTCCCAGATGTTGATGTCTGGACATTACATTTTAATCCATGAGGCACTCATACCTCGCGTGGATCTAAAGAGCCGTCTGAATACACCCTATATGAAGATGTGGCTCAGCATCTAGGGCTACCAACCTCCAGGTAGTGACTGGAGATCTCCTGGGATTACAACTGATCTCCAGGTGATAGAGATCAGCTTACCTGGAGAAATGGTTGCTTTGGAAGGTGGACTCTGTGGCACCATACACCACTGAGGTCCCTTCCCTCCCCAAACTCCACCCTCCTCAGGCTCCATTCCCCAAATCTCCAGGTATTTCTCAACCTGGAACTGGCAACCCTGTCAACATCTTTCACCTTCCAGGATGTTTTTACCTCCACGGAGTAAATAATCTCCTCCAGGTAAAGCCATTTACAGTTGCCTGTCTGTAAATGGAAAAAATACCTAAGGCAATTAAAACCCCCACAACAATCTACTGTTTTTGACATGCCGGTGATTTTTTAAAATACCAGGCACTGTAAAATGTTGCGATGAATAATGCCCCGTGGGTTTTTGCAGTGGAAGACTAGTCCAGGGGAAGGTTATCATGAAGTGTTAACAGAAGTCTGTAATGGCTTCATAGGAGAACATTTACTTCACCACAGAAGTAGAAAAATAACCCCATGAATAGCAAAAATATTTGTGATTAATGATGATAGATATTTGAAACAGGTTCTGGGTGCTTCAAAAAGCCATGGGTGCTGTGGGGAAAAAAAAGAATTCTGCCGCCACAAATGTAATTGTTGGGGGTAGAGAGGGCATTTTCCTATCCCAAGATACATTTGAATTTGGCTTGGGGTAGTGAATATATCCTAAATACCATTTGCACATCTTTTTTCATGCTCCTCTCATAACCTGTTTGGTGCATCAGCTCATGGATCCCCAACACCACATACAATTTGTTCAACAGTCATCAGATACCACACGTTCAGTCCAGGGACGTACGCATGAAGGCATGTCCTCCTGAGTTCAGTGAGACTTGTACCCTAGCAAATGAGCATAGAGTTACAGTTTTACAGCTAATTCTTATCACATTTCACCAAAAACAAAGCCCAGTTTCCTCAAATGAGTAAGCTTAATCATTAAATTCTAAACTCTTAGCCTTTAGCTCACAGGAATATATGGAACAAGCAGCGACCCCCAAGATACTTGCAAGGACTGGGAACCCCCTTCTTTTCTCCTGCCTATATGTGTCCAACTCCAGCACAGTTACCTCTGGGGCTGGCAGGGGGAGAGGAAGTTTGCATTCCTTCTTCCCCACTCACTCACAGCATTAGCACAGAGGCTGCTGCATGCACAAGAGCAGACAACTGCTTTCTGTTTTGGGTGTTTGTTTGTTTTTTAAACTTCTTTTTTATTAGATTTTTCTGCACACTGGCTGAGTCTCCCAACTTTGGAGAAAAAAAATCTGCTTTCTTTCAAGGTGGCTCTGAACTGCAGATTTAAGTATCCGCAGATGAGGCCATGTTTGGTATCAGGTCTACTGATACTGCAAAGAGGACTGTAATTCACACACACGAAATAAAATGTGGGGTAAGTGAGGCTATTCCTTCTGGAGGAATTTGACCCACAGTTGCGTGATGTGGGTGAGTCGGTTTTGGGTTTTTTTGCCGTTTTCGATGCACTTAAACAAGGTATCGATAAATTGCACCTCCCCACCGAGGGTTCCCGATGGAGTGTGCGATGATGTGCATACTGAGAAGGGGGAAGAAACCAACAGCACGGAATCGGGATGGCCTGATCAGACTGTCCTGACAACATGAGAGCGCGCTGGAGCGATCAGATAGGGGAAAGTCCATCCATGGCCCGTAGCAACCCGTTTGCTACCGGACTTTCCCCAGTGCTTGTTTACTCCGCTTCTGTGGTGGAGCAAGATGGATTGCTGACAGCTGCAGATGTTTGTGTCTGATTGCGCCCTTTAAATCTGCCCGGCATTTGCGCCTATGTCGGAGCTAATTGTGCATATGATCACAGCCAATGTACTTATTAGGTTGTTGGTCCCACTGAATTCGATGGGGTTTACTTCTGAGTAAATAAAGTCCCTTCTACCAACAAGAAAACACAGAATTACCATGTCGCTAAAATCCAATTTTCTACCATGTCAGTCCAACACCCTTGTCAGCTGCATAGCAGGCAGTGCTGTAAGCAAGGGTCTCTCCCCCCCAGACATCTCCCTGTGCCTTTATTTTTACTGCTGATTCAGGTGAGGCAGAGCACATTTTCATGGCCATCAAATCCTGTAACTCCCCCCCCCCATGTGAGCATGTCTTCCTATGGGCTTCAGCCTTCACGTCGTTTTATAAATGTGTTTATTTATTTAAAACATGCATATGCTGCCTTTCCACCCAAATAAAATCCCGAGATGGAGAACAAGGCACTGAAATAATCAAACATTAAAAGCATTTAAATATATATAAATTATACTGTTCCCTATTCCCTGTTGCAAGCAATTTTAATTTCATTTCAACCTTTTTAAATAGACCCAGCCCTAGTGCACAGCATAAAAGAGAAAGTTGCCTTGCAAAAAGCGGTCCCATCTGCAAAAGAACAACCAAATGCAGCCCAATCCACAAACCAGTTGTTTTATTTTGATTTTGGTAAATTATTTCTAAAGGAACCACAACATGAACCAAATAGAGTTGCCAACCAACCAACCAGAATTCTGATTGGCCTGACCAAAATAATATCCTCTTGACCACCTGTGGTCTTAACTGAAGGATGTTAATGCAGAGGATAATCAAATTGATCCAGCGGTCTCCTGCGCGCTTTCATAGACTGCGTCCATGTATTAGCATATCACATAGGGGAAGGACAGGCATTCTTGCATTTATACTGTGGCACATCAGTTTGTGCTGTGAAGACTGTAAGGTGGAGTTTGTTAAATCAAGATAGAAACAACTCAGCATGGGGGAAAAACTGAATTAAATCAAGCTTCCTATTTTGTAATTCATATATCTCCTCAGCAAAAAGTGCATGCTGATTGGTTGCTGTAAAAATGAGTGCAGTGCTGGTTAGCAACTTAAATGTAGCCTTTCGACTATCTGGGAGCATAATCCAAAACCTTCACTTCTGCAACACACACACACACACACCATTTTTACATTACAGAATTATATCTCTTTAGAGACCAGGAAGACAGTTGTGAAACAATGGGTTTCTGTTTGGCTGTTTTGGAATAATACTTTAGGCCTAATGACTTGTCTTTTAGAGGAGGGCCAGGACAGAGCTAAGGGTATTGCAGCCCCTTAAATCAATAGACTTAACTATGTATGTTTTGCTGGGCCTCAGGGCTTAAAAACTTTTAGAGGCAAAGGCCAACAAAGGATTGGACAGAAACTGTTTCTCTAGGGTATGAGAAGTAAAGAATGATCATGCTGTTTGGTTAGCAATCACAAATTCTCGGAATTTGCTGAAATGAATGAATGAATGACCGGATGTGCTTGTGCAGGTTCTTGTAGATAGTTCTTGGCTGGCATGCAGATTTTTTTGATATTAGGCAAAATGCTACTGAGCTACTCCTCCCAGCCAATGTAGAAGAGAAAGACAACAGATTGGATTTATACCCCCACCTTTCACTACCTGAAGGAGTCTCAGAGGGGCTTACAATCTCCTTTCCCTTCCCCTCCGCACAACAGACACCCTGCGAGGTAGGTGGGGCTGAGAGAGCTCTTTTGAGGACTGCTCTTGAGAGAACAGCTCTGAGAGAACTTGTAAGTGACCTAAAGTCACACCAGCTGGCTGCATGTGAAGGAGTGGGGACGCAAACCTGGTTCTCCCAGATTAGAGTCTGCACTCCTAACCACTACGCCAAACTGGCTCTCAGGATTACCGCCACCTCAACCAGCTAAAAACTGCCTGCTGGGGGTGGGTGGGTGGGAATTCAGCTGGAGAAGGATCCAGGCTTCCTTTTCAAAGCATTCCACGGTCCACTCTTATAATTCATGTCCCCTGCAGCAGTTTTTCATTACCATGGCACCAGTGAGTGTGTACGTGCTTTCTTCCCTTTCTGTGTGTCGTATTCTTTAGGTATCTTTACTGACTGCAGGATTTTCTGTCCTCAGGGCATACAGGGTGAGCCTGGTCCGCCAGGACAACAGGGAAACCCTGGAGCTCAGGTATGTGTTTAGCTCTCTGTTTTGTGCGTGTGTTTTTTTGTATGAGAGAGAAAATGTTGGAGAGGAACAAAAGGGCTTAGGGGTCAGAGAGTAAAGACAGACTACTATGAAAACAGAGCTCCCAATACATGCCAAGGTGTGATGATGTGAGTCTGGCTAATTCCTGACTTCCCTGTAAAATGACAGGCATGGGTATTGTTAAACTGAATGCTGGCCTATGGGTTCTCCTCCCCCCCAGGTTTCAGATAGGCTGTCCACTCTGTAATGTTAAAAGCACAGTATGAACACTCACATTATCTGTTTATCATTGTTTGAGTCCAGTGGAACCTTTAACGCCAACAAAGTTTAATTCTGGGTATAAGCTTTCATGTGCATGTATAGAAGAAAGAAGAAGAAGAGAAGAAGAGATTGGATTTATACCCCGCCCTTCACTCAGAGTCTCAGAGCAGCTTACAAATGCCTTTCCCTTTCCCTCCCCACAACAGACCCACTGTGAGGTAGGTGGGGCTGAGAGAGCTCTTTCAAGAACTGCCCTTTCAAGGACAGCTCTTGTCAGAACTATGGCTTGCCCAAGGTCATCCAGCAGCTGCAAGTGAAGGAGTGGGGAATCAAACCCGGTTCTCCCAGATTAGAGTCCACACACTTAACCACTATACCAAACTGGCTCTTCGGATACACATGCACACAAAAACGTATATCAAGAATTAAACTTTGTTGGTCTTAAAGATGCCTAGGGTTGCCAGGTCCTTACCTTCTGCTGGTGGGGGTGCCAGCCTGCTCTCCTGGTCCTTCTGGCGCAAGGTGACATCATTGTGCTGAGCATGTCAGGCATGGTGGGGCTCTTTGGGGGCGGGGTTCCCCCACCAGCCAGCTGGCCAGTGGTGGATTGGGCCCTCCAAAGTCAGGGGGAAATCCACCCCCATTGGGGGGATGGCAACCAATGCTCCCTCTAAGCTGTGGAGTCTTTTGAGCAAAAATTCCACTTTGTGAGCTACTGGCCTTAAAGTTGTGAGCGAGCGATTTGGCTATGGCATGAATTAGTCTGCTCTGGAGCCATCCTTCCTGAGCTAAGACAAAAACCTGTGAGCTGGAGGCCAAAAAACTGTGAGCTAGCTCACATTAACTCAGCTTAGAGGGAACACTGAATTGGCAACCCTAAACGTGCCACTGGACTCATAGGTTGTTCTGTTGCCCCAGACCAGCAAGGCTGCCCACCTGAATCTGTTTATCATTGTGTAAGATTTCCCTTAAGTCAGTTTTTAAAGTACAAAGTTAGTTATGGGAGGGGGGAGTCCTTTATGACATCATGAGAGTCAGCCAATCCATGATAGGCACACTTGGCTTGTGTTTGACGCTTCCAGCACTTGTTTCTGTCACACCTTGAGCCTGGAGAAGAAGAGGTATGCTGGAAGTGAATGCTGTGAGGGTGCTTCCAAAGTGCTCTTACTACTCTTGGCCAGAGAATGTGCTGTTTTTCCCTGATCCCAGCTGATCCATCTCTTTCTCATAGGGTCTACCTGGTCCTCAAGGTCCTGTCGGGCTTCCAGGCAACAAGGTGAGCTGGAGCAAGGGAAATGTCTAACCTACCCTGAACCTGGCATAAAACTGTAGGTTCATCTGGGATGGTGGGGGGGGGGCAGTATTGAGGAGGTCTGCCATGGCTTGTGCTAGCTGTCCTATAGCAGGGCGTGGTGGTCGCTAACAGAGCAATCCTGCACTGAATTACACTTTTCTATGTTAGCAGAATTTAAATATGCAAAGGAAGTGGTGTGTTGACTGTTTATAGATAAAAATGACTAGGGCCCCGGTCACACGGGCCGGATATTGCGGGGGGGGGGGGAGGCGTGGCTGTTTGCCCCGCAGGGAAATAACGCGCGACTGCACGATCAGACGTCCCCTCGTGGTCCCGTCGAGGTCCCGTGGTTAGGGGGGAGGTGCCGATCACACGAAGCGCTAAAGAAGCGGCGCGGCGCGGCAAATGGGGTTGTGTTTTGTTTTGTTTTAACCTGAAGTATGCGCATGCCTTGTTGGGTGCTTGTGCGTATCCCTGGAGACTTCGGGGGGGGGAAAAACCTTTTCGCAATGGGGCATGGGCGGGCGCTGGATGCCACCGGAAACGCGATCAGACGCCCGCCCTTGCCCCGCGGTTTCCGGAAACTAGTACCTCCGAGGTACTAGTTTTTTTGCCGTGCATCTTCGGCGGGAAGCCTCGGTTGAGCCACGGGAGCTCTACGCTTCCCAGATGTGGAGATGAGTTCGCGCCCGGAAAATCCGCCTATCTTCTGTCTCTCTAGCGTGGCTAATGTGGGGCCTAGGTTTATTAAAGAAGAATGTATCTCCAGCTTCTGGGTTCAGTGTGGCAGAACTTGGAATGACTCTTGCAGTCGTTCAGAGACAATAAAACATTTCTGAACTTTTCAATTAACATCACATAACAGAAGCACAGAACTTAGTAACACAACAAAGCAGTGATCTTTTAAAGTCCAATCCATTAACTTCTCCCTTCTTCACAGCCTGCCACCCCCCAAAGTCCATCCTTTTCCTCTTGTTGGTGGGTCAAGAAGTCCCTTGCTGAACACGCTGGGCACCAGCTTCCAAAATGAGGCTCCCAGTCGAACCCCCACTAGATGACACAGCTCTTAATCAAGGTGTTCAGAGCCTACGGTTAAGGTTCAAGGTCCCCAGCAAGGCAATCTGGCTTCCCTCTTCAGCTTTCCACAAGTTTTACACCCTTCTGCATCTAGAGGCTCGACCCTTTCCTGGCTCATTCTATTCCCAGCAAAAACAAACTGTTATAGAACACAGAAGACAGAACCTTAACTGTCTAGCCCAGGACAGCAGCTGGTAAGCTCCGAGTTGGTGTATCCTCACTGCAAGGCCCCATGGGATGCGAGGGGGGCGCAAAGGAAAACCCGTATGGGTGGACTGGACAGCCATCAGTGCAGCACTGTGTAGATGCTCCCACGCTGCTTAACTGCTGCAGAGGAGGTTGTTCCACCATGCTGAAGCCACAATTGGAGTGGCTCCCCCCACCCCCCTGAAGCAGTCTCCTGTTTCCTCCCTTGCATTAGTTGCTTGCGGGCCGCATAGGAGACCTAGACAGGCCAGTTCCGGCCCCTGGGCCTTATGTTTGACACCCCATGTCTAGCCTAACTGCTGTGAGAGGAACAACAATGAGGAAGCTCTGCAGGAAGGTGACGTCTCCAGAAGAGCCAATCAGGAGGCAGGAAGGACACAGTTTGAAATTGTGGGCAGCCCCTAATCTAGCCATCCTAGCTACCAGTCCTTCAGCTGACAGCTGTCCCTTTGTAGGCTGATCTTCAGATCTTCTTCATAAGGCTGCACGATAGACCTTGCATATTCCAGTATTCTAAGCCCATTAAAGATATTGAGCGTAGAAGGATGTAACTGTGCTGAGAACTGCACTGTAAGTAGTTCCTGGAGATACCCAGTTACAAAACCAGACTGCCAGTGTGGTATAGTGGTTAGAGTCTTGGATTGCAGTCAGGGAGGACCCAGGCTCGAATCCGCCACTGTACCATGAAAGCTTGCCGGGTGACCTTGGGCCAGTCACTCTATCTCAGCTTAACCTATATCATAGGGTCGTTCTTGTAAGGATAACACAGAGGAAGGGAGAAAGATGTTGTAAGCCGGTTTGAGATCCCAGTGGTGAGGAAAGTCACATATAAATATCTAAATAAATATCTAAATAAATATCTAATAAATTTTAAAAAGCAATGATTGTTTCAACAAAGATTTGCCCGTTGTCGATCATCTGTGTTTTAATGGATAAAAAGGAGATTATTGGAGCTCAAGACTGTCTGGGAAGCCTAATCTGTCAGCCCAGACATGCTACTACTGCAGCACACATTTCCTAAGCTCCAGCTCCGAATGAGCTGAAATTCAAATAATACTTTCTATTATTATTTGTGCCTTGAATTTAAAACAGCATAACAAACACACCGTGGCAGCTCACAGGACGTTAAAACCTAAATAAAATAACATTCCAGCAGTATGAATGTTAAAGCCACCATGACCCAATAACTTATAAAACAGCCATCAAAGAGACAAAACGGAAAAAGCCATAAAACCGGTTCAGCAGCAACAGATAAAAGAGTACGGGATCCTGCAGTAAATCTTTGCTGATGGAATGAATTTCCATCAGTGGAACAGGAGTGCCTCACTCCCCCCCCCCGCACTACAGCTCAAAATGCCCCCCCAAATACTGCTTGGATAAGGGACTCCCAGAAATAGCCTGTGGAGAGGAGGGGCTGCGGCACAGTGGAAGAGCCTCTGCTTGGCATGCAGAAGGTCCCAAGTTCAATCCTCAGCATCTCCAGTTAAAGTATAAGGTAGCAGGTGGTGTGAAAGACCTCCACCTGAGACCCTGGCACTGCCAGTCTAAGTAGATAATACTGACCTTGATGGACTAATGGTCTGATTCAGTATAAGGCAGATACATATGTGTTCATGCACATGTACACATAAGCCTGAAGGGGTGTCACAGGTAGTGATTGGGGAGGCTCTCCATAGACTGCCACCACTCTGGTACGGGCAGGTCCCGTAGCTACAGTGGGGCATCTCGGGGCAAGGCCCCCTCCCCTGGCTTACCATCCGGGCCTCCTGACTTCCCATCCAGCTGGTTTATTTTATTTTTGTTGCGTGCCACAGTTGCACCGGGCCGTTGCCCTGCCCTGCCTACCAGCAGTATACCTCTGGCTGGCTGAGGGCAAGGCACACCACAGGGCACATCTGCTCCCTACTCCAGCTCTCTGTCTCGCACACACTTAAAAAAAACCTTTTACTCTCTTGTCGCTCCTGACACAGTGCCCCCCCCCGACTTATTTAAATGCCCACTGAAGTAAAAAAAAAATCCTGGCTACGGCCCTGGGTACGGGCAGGGGTCGTTTTGTAGAAAAAGAGCTAGGGGAACTCATTAGCATAACTCATTAGCATATGCCACACACCCTGACATCACCGGAAGTGTGTCATAAGGCCACACCCATGGAAGCCCCGCGAAGGCCCTCCCTGGCCCCAGGCAGGCAGGGGTGGGGAGAGGCAGGGAGGAAGCAACTTACCCTCCCTCTTCTCCTGCCTCCTCCTAGCTAATTGAGGGCCGGAAGCGGGGCGGCCGGAAGCAGGGGGCGGGGCTTCATCATGTGCCCCGCCCCCTGTACCTCACCCAGGGGAACTGCGATCCCCCGCGATCCCCCCCAAAATGACCTCTGGGTACGGGTCTCCTCGGGAGGCCCAGAGCACCCACCTGACCCCTAATATCCATTCTTTCCCAATAGAGTGTACTTTACATGTGACCGAATGAGGTGTGAGGACCCAGGCAGGAATAACAAATAATTTTAATGTCAGCTGGTTTTCAAATAATTTGTAGAATAATGAGAACAGTAAATGTATGTAAGCAAACAAATAAAAGGGCCCTAACGCGTCTATCTAGACCAGGGGTGGCCAAACTGCAGCTCGGGAGCCGCATGCGGCTCTTTCACAGTCTGATTTAATATTAATAAAAAAGCAAATTTGCATATTTTCCAATAAAAATCTGTGTGTAATATATTGTTCGTGTCCTGCAGCTCTCAAACATCTGATGTTTGTTCTGTGTGGCTGTTACGTTAAGCAGGTTTGGCCCCCCCTGATCTAGACTGTTCCTAGCTCTCTCTTGGTGTTTGGCCTGAAACTGACTCATCTAGGGTTGCCAAGTCCAATTTTCTTCCCGGCGGGGGAGCCTTGCTGGGTTCCGAGAGCCATTCTTTGATGTGTGTGCGCGCATGCAAAGCGCGCGCGCGCCACCAGCACGTCACTGGAAGTGACGCGCAATGTCAATCACGTTGAAGGTGTGGCCCCGATCGTCGGAGGGAAAACCATAGAGTTTTACCTCCGACGATCGGGGCCATGCTCCCAACGTGATTGACGTGGTTGCGTCACCTCTGGTGACGCAGCCATACTGCGCTTCGGGGGGCGGAGTTCCCCCCAGGGCCCGATTCCATGGCGGCGGAAATCGGGCCTCCGAAGCAGGGGCTTACCCGCCCCCCGCCCCCACTTGGTAGCCCTAGACTCATCCCTTCTGGTTGAGGGATCTCTCCATCAGCAGCAGCCTCTCTGTAATGTATTGAAATGATTACATGAATCACCTCATAGGACTCCCCTGTTAAGCTTCGAGCCAGACCAGGGCTCCTCTGAGCGAACTTCCTATTGGTCGCTTCGTAACAGCGACCAATCAGAACGATACCATTCCCTAGGAGGGAAAGACTCCCATTGGTCCTTAACTAAGCAATCTCATTGGTTGTTAATTGTAAATAGGCGTGGCTACATTAGCCCGGTTATGTTTAAAAGGAGCATAAGCTCCCACTGTTTTCTGTTCTGGTTTCTTACTGAGTTAGTGCTTGCTCGTTACTTCCAATAAAGCTGAATCACTTGCTGAATCACTCTAAGAGTCCTTTGTTAGCGCGATCTAACAATTGGCGACGAAGGTGGGATGTTAGAGCAGGTAGGCAGCCCTGCGGACATCCACACTTCGGACTCGGAAGAAAGCGAGCAGAGCACAGC